AAATTATTATTATTATTCTAAATATAATTAATTAATTATTTTAAACTAATTATTTTACAAACATTTTTCTAATAATATTTAAATATACAGTATATATATGTATAAATGATTAAAATAATTCAATAATCATATAACTTATTATTTTGAGAAAAAAACAATTAAATAAATAATAATATACTATATTTTATAATAGCATTTAACAAACAAACAAACAAACAAACAAACACTTACCTAATTATAAACATTGTATCAATAATCAGTATATTGCGGGCAAAAAAATATTTATTATAATAGTAGACCTTGGTTATTACTGAATTTAGTATACGCCTGAATGCTATTGTACTCAGGAATGGGGTAAACAAATACATATGATCTACACATACGTTGATTATCAGTAGGAATCGGATGGCATCGATACAGACAAACCGTTTACTACAGGCACCGGTATTACTGAACAATAGCCGTATGTTTGATTGTAGCGAAAAACATGATATAATTTTCACGATTAATATAGGTTTGTTGGGAGGGGTGGTTGTAGGGGTGGCACCTCCTATATGTGTATTATGTGGTGGTGGTGGTGGTGGTGGTGGTGGGTATCCTCTACTACCACCACCAACACCACCACTACCTGCCGTCCTATTGTTAGCATTATTATTATTATTTAAATTATTAATTTTGTAGTTATTTTTATTATAATGATTATTATTATTATTAAGTTTTGTTGTCGTATTAATGTTTGTATTATTTTTAGTATTATTATTACTATCTATCCATTTGAATAGTTTGATCAATAGCTCAATGATGTTGCATACAATGGGTATCATTATTATCAATAACAATACAATACTGTTTTTAATTAAAAAAAAAAAAATAATAATTTAAAACTTAAAATTTAAATTATGTTTGTGTGTACATACAGTGCAAATTTTTGATAATTATCCATGGTAATTTCCGGATTTTTTACATAACAATCGGGCATCAATTCAATAGGCATATGTGTTATCGGATAGATTACTTGAATGGGGGGGAGGGGAGGGGTGAAAATAAAAATAATAAAAATAATAAACAATTAATTAAATAAAAACAAATAATTAATAGATAAATAGCATAAAATTAGAAAATGTAAATAAAATTATTAATTAGAAAATAGATAAATAAATAAAACAAATAATTAATTAATAAATAATATAAAATTAGAAAAAAATAAATAAATAAAACTATTAATTAATAGATAAATAACATATAAAATTAGAAAAATATAAATAAAATAATTAATTAGAAAATAAATAAATAAAAACAAACAAATAATTAATAAATAAAAAACAATTAATTAGAAAAATAAATATAGAAATAAAACAATTAATAAATAGCTTAACTAAATAATTAAAATTATTAAATATTAAATTACATGTACCAAAAAACACACACAACAATTATTATAAAAATTATTTAAAAAAAAAAAATAATTTACATTTATTTAAAATTTGCTCCATATCCCCGGGTAGGCATACTGATGGCATACAGGTGCCCAGTCGTAAGGTTGCACCTTTTTGATTGTTCAAAATTTCAACCAATTTGAACACGGTCAAATAGTGATCCATATTGTAGTTTTTCAAAAATTTAACTAGCTTATCAAAATGTTGTCTATGCTGGATATGTTTGTTGATTTTCAATTGGCCAGGTAGTATCCTAGGATAGGGTAGTATCAATTTGGCCAGACAATATTGGCCACGTATAGGATCGGTAGGTTCAGTAGTAATAGTATCGGCCATCATATCACTGTCGGCTCCGGTATTGCTTTCAATGCCCAAACATTCATCATATTCGCCAAAATGAGATACCGTTCCCTCAAATATGCCGGTAGGTATTCGGCCCATTGAATCGATAACTTAAAAAGTAATTAAAAATTAATTAATAAATATATTTATAAAATAATTAATTATTTTTTTTAAACTGATAATAAATAAATTGGTTTTTAAAAAAATTATATAATAAATAATTAATTAAATAAATAGATTTTTTTTATTAATTATAATCTAATCAATAGTTCAAACTAATAGATGAAAAAAAATTAATGATTTTTTATTTAGTACAAAAAATATTTATTATAAATTAAAGTTTCATTTTTGTTGTTAATTTTTCTAATTAATAATTTATTAATTATTATTGATAACTTTATTATTGAAAAAAATGTTTACTATTATCAATGTTGTTTATTAAAAAATAAAATTATTATTACAATATATAATAACCACATTTATTATTTATTTTTTTTATTTCAATGCTAAATAATTGTTTACTATTATTAAAATTATTTACTGTATTATATTATCAATTATTTTTTTTGAAATTTTTATTTTTCTATTACTGGTAATTTTAACTATTTATAAAATATTTGTAAAACTAAACTATATATTAATTTAGTTTTATTTATAAAATATTATTATTTTTATAATAATAATATTTATATTAATATTCAGTTAATTAAATAATAATTATTAATAATAAAACAAAAACAATAAAATAAATAGAAATAATATATATATATATTGTTTTGCTATGCAATAAATATTTTGTTATTAAAAAACATAAATAAATATTATCTACCAATAATTAGCAAATAATTAATTTTTGTTATAATATTTGATAATTATCTATTTTTTAATTATTAATTTATAAATAAATTTTTAAAAAAAAAATAAAACTTACATTTCATAGCCCATAGTTCATGGTTTTTAATACCATTAAACACAAGTATCAGTGCCCGTAAACAATCATCATTGATATCCAATGATAAAAATATATCCAATAGTCTAATCAATTGTCTATCTTTCGTGAAAATTTCCAATAAATTTCCCGAAATATTAGCTAATCTATCGATTATAGCAAATGTTTGATTAATAGTATCGACAACTACTAGTTGATTATCACTATTGTTTTCATCATAGATTTTGAACAATTGTGTTAGTATTGGATTATTATTATTATTATTACTGGTGCCTAAAGCACCGGTAGTTTGTTGTTGACAATCTCCCGGTTCATAATCATCATCATCATCATCATCGTAATCATCTACCGGTTCCTCATTTGATTGATTAGTATTATTATTATTATCATTAATATTGTTGTTTGTATTGTCAGTCAAGTTGTTATCAATACTTAATAAAAGTTTAGATCCATTGGTTACAGAATATTCTGTTAAATTAATTAATGTATTATTATTTTCAATATTATTATTATTATTATTAATATTTTTCAAGTTTAAGCCATTAGTTTGTAGACATTTAACATTCAAACTGATAATTAAACTAATTAAACAATATTTTATTATAAAATAATAATAAGTCATAGTTTTTAATTTAAGTTTTATTGTAAAATAATATGTTTTTATTATTAAAACAAATATTTTTTGAAAAACTAATTAGAAATTGTTTTAAACAAAATAATAATTGTTATAATAATAACAGCAATAAACAAAATATTTTACATTTTTGATTGATATATAAAATTAATTGTTTTAATATACAGTAGTTTTATTAAAAAATATAATAATTATGTAAAATGTTATTAAAACAAAAATCTTTTTTAAAAAAATTCAAATAAATTTAATTATTATTTTATATTTTTAGTTAACATTATTATTATTATTATATTTTTAATCGCTGATTGATTGATAGATTTGATTATTTACTTAAAAATTTTAGTTTATTTTATAGTTAGAAAAACTCATGTTATTTTTGAAAATATAATAATTATTTTTTTTTCTGTATTAATCTACGGTTAATATCTTTTTTTTATATAAAAAAATTAATTTTATTATTATAATAATAATACTGTAAATAAAATTAAAAACTTATTTATTATTATTATTATCGTAAAACATAAAAAAATTAAAATGTATCTATTAATAAATAAATTTTTATTTTTTTTATTTATTATTATATTTTTCAAATAAATAATATTAATAATAAATTATATATATTATTAATAATAATAAGTTAAATAACATGTTATAATAGATAATGTTATAATTATTTTTAGTTTAATATATATAAATAAAATATTATTGAAAAAAATAAATTATAAATATAGAAATTTTTAACATTTTTCAAAAAAAAATCAATATACTGTATACATTAAAAAATAAACATTATTTATTAACAAACGTTATTTATGTTTTTTTTAACAAAACAAACAATTGACATAGTGGCATTAAAAATAAAAATACGTACATACAGTCAAACACTAGTTACAATATACAATAGTATATATATATATATATATATATTTAATTACAATGCAAATTATCTAGCTAATTAATTTTTTTAAAAAAGACAATAATTAATTAACTAAATATTTATACTAGGTTAAAATTTTAAATTATAATATTTAACCTAATTAATTAGTTTCTATAGTATAGTCTATTAGTATAGTTATCAATAAACGTGATATACTGTATATATATTTTTTTGGGCGATTATTAACAAGTGTTGTGATTATTATTATACATGTATTTTGACAATCCATAGCATTATAATTATATTTAATTTTATTTATTTAATTAAATAAATAAAAATTAAATAAAATTATTTAACTAAATAATTATATAGATATTAGTAGTAATTTTGTTGCAATTTTTTTTGGAAAAAAATATATTTTTTTTAAATACATTTATATATATATATATATCTAACTATTAATTTCTATGCTATGCTATCATATGTTTCTCATATATGAGATAATCAAAAATTAAAAAAAATAATTTATTGTTTTTTTTAATAATAATTAAATAATAATTTTTTAAGTATCATATCATATATAATACTATAATAAATTAATAGCAATACTATAGTAATAATATTTATATTATTTATTTTTTTTTTAAAAAAGTATAATTTAAATCAATCAAAAAAATTTATTTATTTATTTATATATTAATATATTGTTAATAATTGTAATACTATTGTAATTATTATTATTATTATAGTAATAATAATAATAATAATAATATAAATATGGAACTAATTCGTACACCTAAAGTAAGTTGGTCATTTTTTAAAAAAAATTAATTTTATATGCCAGGTTATTTTTGGTTTTTTTTGTTGAAAATAATATATACAATTAAGTTATTTAAATATATAGTAGTTTAAAAAAAAAATTAAAATTAAAAATAATTATTATTATTATTATTAGCTAGCATATTTAGTTTAGATATAAATTTATTATTAATACTTTAATCATAATCATATATTAATTAAATTTTTAGCTAAATATAATCAATATTTATCTAGTAATTAGTAATTAGGGTTATTAATTAATTTAAATTATTTTTTATTATTAAAAGTTACTAGTTGAATATAATTATTTTATAAATTTTTATATATAAATGATTATAATATTTTATTTTTACTAACCGGTAATAATTATACAACAATAAAATAAATATTATATTAAATATCATAATAATTAATATAAACAGTATATATATTTCCAAAAAAAAAAAAAAAAAAATTATTAATAATAATTAGTTATATATAAAATTAATTTATTTATTACTAATATATTTATTTTGTTTGTTTGTCTATATTATGTGTGTGTGTGTGTGTATATGATTTTTTTGGGGGGTGGGTGGGTGGGTAACGGGTGGGTCACACACACACACACAGGTAGTCAATGTATTATTATATCTATATATATATAAATAATTAATTTTATTACTAATATATTATATCACTTTTTATTTGTCTATATATATATATATATTATGTGTATGTCTATGGGTTGGTTGGTTTTGTTGGTCACACACACACACACACAGGTAGCCAACGTACGTATGCTATGCCGATACCCGGGCCAACAGCTAACTGGCGGTAGGGATACTACGGGTACACTGTATCTGACGGCTACACATCTAATATTTGTCGACCACAGTGCCAAACGTGAGAACTGGATCCTCCATACGTTGATATCATCCATAGAGAAGCTATCGATAACTACTAACGGCTCACCACTATTGATGCGATGCAAACATTTTCTATGCGTTACATTCATAATACCCAAGGAACGGGATGCACACGATATCTATCTGTCCATCTATCAACTATCGCAACCAAGTTAGACCCTGATATTAATTAATTAATTAATTATAATATAATATATAGTCAATCAGTCAGTTATTAGTTTATATATCCTTATAATAAGGATCTCTCTCTCACTGTCTYTCTCTCTCTCTCTCTCTCTCTCTATCTCTCTCTATCTCTCTCTATCTCTCTATCTCTCTCTATCTCTCTCTCTCTCTCTATCTCTCTCTATCTCTCTCTATCTCTCTCTATCTCTCTCTATCTCTCTCTATCTCTCTCTCTCTCTCTATCTCTCTCTATCTCTCTCTATCTCTCTCTCTCTCTCTCTCTCTCTCTATCTCTCTCTATCTCTCTCTATCTCTCTCTCTCTCTCTCTCTCTCTCTCTCTCTCTCTCTCTCTCTCTCTCTCTCTCTATCTCTCTCTATCTCTCTCTATCTCTCTCTCTCTCTCTCTCTCTCTCTCTCTCTCTCTCTCTCTCTCTCTCTCTCTMTCTCTCTCTCTCTCTCTMTCTCTCTCTCTCTCTCTCTCTCTCTCTCTCTCTCTCTCTCTCTCTCTCTCTCTCTCTCTCTATCTCTCTCTATCTCTCTCTATCTCTCTCTATCTCTCTCTATCTCTCTCTATCTCTCTCTATCTCTCTCTCTCTCTCTATCTCTCTCTCTCTCTCTCTCTCTTTAATATTATTATTATTATTATTAACTTAAACCCACACTAACTGTTAGTTTTATTTTTAATTTTTAAAAATCAAATAAAATGTTTATTGATTTTTTATTGACAATTATTTTTTGTTAGCCAACATCGAGGACTTGTATTGTTTCAACTATACGGCCAGCAATGAACACTTTGACAAAGAGGACGGTTGGCATCAGTATAGTGTCGAATCGGAGTTCCAGCGTATGGGTCTTCCCAATCAACATTGGACACAGACTACCATTAATACTAATTATGAGGTTTTTTTTTATTTTACTGACTGTCCCAACGTATCCCTATCTGTCTGTCCCAACCATCCCTATCTGTCTGTCCCAACCATACCTATCTGTCTGTCCCAACCATCCCCTATCTGTCTGTCCAAACGTATCCCTATCTGTCTGTCCCAACGTATCCCTATCTATCTGTCCCAACAATCCCTATCTGTCTGTCCCAATCATCGCTATCTGTCTGTCCCAACAATCCCTATCTGTCTGTCCCAACTATCCCTATCTGTCTGTCCAAACTATCCCTAAACTGTCTGTCACAACCATCCCTATCTAACCMCATCMCACCCCACCCTTACTCTCACTCCTAACTAACCAAACAAACAAATGTTTGAATTTATATCTCTAATATCATCGTAGGTTTGCGACACATATCCGCGTAGTCTGTACTGTCCGGCCGGTGCTACCAAACAGATACTGTTAGGCAGTGCTAACTTCCGGTCTAAAGGCCGGCTACCAGTGCTAACATATCTCCATAAGAATAATGTAAATTAATTGAATCAAATTATTATAATTGTTTTGATATTTGTATTTAACTGTATGTATGTATGGTTAGGCTGTGATCTGCCGGTGCGCTCAACCGTTATCTGGTTTCAGTGCCCGTTGTGTTGAAGACGAACAACTGTTCAATTGTATACTAAAATCAAATCCAAAATCATCGGTACTTTATGTAGTGGACACCCGACCAATGGTTAGTATATATATATATATACCTTAAATATTTTGTGTATATTATCTTATATTTGATGACTGACTGTCCGACTGACTAACTAACTGTCCATATATATTATAGATCAATGCAATGGTTAATAAAGCTCAGGGAAAGGGCTACGAAAACGAGTATTTCTATGAGAATACGAAATTTCATTTTTTCGGTATTGAAAACATACATGTAATGAGAGGTAGCCTACAGAAGCTGATGGACGGTTAGTTGTTTTATTTAGTTAGTTACGGTAGTTATAGGGGTATATACCTAATACCCTAATATTAAACTGATTTTTTGTGTATATGTATAGCTTGTGAACTGAAGGTGCCGTCGATGAATGCCTTCCTATCGGGTGTCGAGGGTAGCGGTTGGTTACGTCATGTAAAGTCAGTACTGGAAACTTCGGCATTCATTGCCCGGGCGGTCAGCGACGGTATCAGTGTTGTTGTCCATTGTTCGGATGGCTGGGATCGTACGGCCCAGACATGCGGTCAGTATATATATATATATAGTTTAGTTAGGGTTTAGCGCACTGTTGTTAGGTTAGGAGATAGATAGTTAGGTTAGCGCACTGTTAGGTTAGGAGATAGATAGTTAGGAGATAGATAGTTAGTAGATAGATAGTTAGTAGATAGATAGTTAGGTTAGCGCACTGTTAGGTTAGGAGATAGATAGTTAGGAGATAGATAGTTAGTAGATAGATAGTTAGTAGATAGATAGTTAGGTTAGCGCACTGTTAGGTTAGGAGATAGGTAGTTAGGTTAGCGCGCACTGTTAGGTTAGGAGATAGATAGGTAATATACAGTACTTTGTAATTTCTAATCTACCGTTCCCATCTCCTTTCCATCACCCGTTTATATATATATATATATATATATAGGACTGGCAGCCGTCATACTGGACCCGTACTATCGGACACTCGAAGGTTTTCAGGCACTTATCGAAAAAGAGTGGCTAGCATTTGGCCACAAGTTTAGCGACCGATGCGGTCATATTCAGGGCGATAGTAAAGAGATGGCACCGGTATTCACCCAGTTTTTGGACGCCGTTTGGCAACTTGCCGGTCAATTTCCCCAACATTTCCAATTTAACGAACGCTATCTACTGGCCATACACGATCACGTACACAGTTGCCAGTTCGGTACGTTTATCGGTAATTCGGATCGCGAGCGCCGGGAGCTCAGGTATGTCGTCCAGCTTTTTTAGTGTTGTTGTTAGTTATCGACTAATTATTATCTTATTTTTATATATTACTGTATATTACCGATAAACTAGATTAGCTGAACGCACCTACAGTCTATGGGCCTATACGGCCAGCCATAGATCCGAATTTATGAATCCACTGTACGTTGGGAACAGTGATGATGATGAGGAGGAGGGTGCCATCGGACAGCATATGCTCAATGTTGATGTCTCGCCACAGATTATCAAGTAATTGATTGATTGATTGATTGATTTTTGTCGCTCATGTAGTTTATAGTTTTAGGCCTATTATTGACTTTCGTTAATATGTTTGGTGTGTATCTCCCTATCCTCTATCTTTCTAACACCCCCTCCCTCTCTACCCATTAGGTTCTGGAGAGGACTATACAATAGATTCGAGTTTGGTGTACATCCTAGACATTCCTTGAATGAGGTACTGGTGGCCACACATAATCATATTACTAGTCTAGAAGATCATATCGATTATCTGGAAGAGGTATGTACTTTCTGTCTGTCTGTCTATCTGTCTGCGTGTGTGTGTGTATGTGTGATGTGTGATGTGTGTGTGTATTTCTGTGTATGTGTATGTGTATGTGTATGTGTATGTGTATGTGTATGTGTATGTGTATGTGTATGTGTATGTGTATGTGCATGTGTATGTGTATGTGTATGTGTATGTGTATGTGTATGTGTATGTGTATGTGTATGTGTATGTGTATGTGAATGTGTATGTATGTGTGTGTGTGTGTGTGTGTGTGTGTGTGTGTGTGTGTGTATGTGTATGAGTATGTGTATGAGTATGTGTATGAGTATGTGTGTGTGTATGTGTGTGTATGTGTATGAGTATGTGTGTGTGTGTGTTGAACACCAGGTGCTCTCAATGCTTACTATAATTTACGGCTTAGAGTTTGATATTAACTGTTTATTATTATTATTATCATTATTATTTACCGATTGGTTGGCCAGCGTATTGCACAATTGACACACACTGATGATGATGATGATGATACCGATAACGGGCCGGCCGATCATCCACTGGCCACCACTACCAATACCAGTACCACCACTAGCGGCGCCTACCTATACAAGAGCTCCGATAGCCAATCGAATGGTAACTCGAATTTTATCGGTTCACTAGATTTAGACGAAATTGATTCGCCGCTAAAAGTGGTCGAAGAGTGTATGAATCGGCTGGAAATGTGTAAAACCAAAGACATTACTATTACTACTACTAATAATAATATAAAAGTTTGTATTTTAAAAACCAATCAATCAATCAATTATTGATTACTAAAAAAAAACTAAAATATTTTTTATTGATTATTGACCGGTAATTCTCTCTCTCTCTTTCTCTCTCTCTCTTTCTCTCTCTCTCTTTCTCTCTCTCTCATTCTCTCTCTCTCACTCACTCACTCACTCTCTCTCACTCTCTCTCTCTCTCTCTCTCTCACTATCTATCTATCTATCTATCTATCTATCTATCTATCTATCTATCTATCTATCTATCTATCTATCTCTCACTATCTATCTATCTCTTACTGTCTATCTATCTATCTATCTCTCACTGTCTGTCTATCTATCTATCTCTCACTGTCTATCTATCTATCTATTTATCTCTCACTATCTATCTATCTATCTATCTCTCACTGTCTATCTATCTATCTATCTATCTATATCTCACTCTCTATCTAACTATAATTACATTATATATTAACTATAATTATATTAATTACAGGACCAACAACTTAAACAACAACAACGTGAAGTGGCCGCTGCCCAGGCCGTAGCCGACACCCAGGCCGTCTACGATACGGTTGCCCTACAGTGGCAGTCACTGCATTCGGTCAAAGAGTGTCCGTGCGGTACACCGTTTGAACCGTTTGCACCGAAACTGCACTGTTGGACGTGCGGCCAACTCTACTGTGTACGCTGTATAGACAAACGTATACCACTACCTGGCCATCAGCAGCAACACCAGCATCATCGGCATCAACAACATCGTCGGCACAGTTACTGTCCGACTATTAATACAAACTATAGCCATAATCGCAAACAACAACAGCAACAGTCGGTTCCCGTTTGTCGTACATGTTATCAACTAGTGATGCGTTCAAACAGTATTGACTGTATTTAATATACAGTTAAAACAAACAACAAAAAAAAAGATTATATAACTTATAATAATTATTTATTTTTCAATTATTTATTGAATTGTTTTAATTAATAGTTATTATTTTTATTATTATATTATAGCCGGTAATCAATTATATGATGAATTATATACTCATTTATTTATTTAGTTTTTATTTATTTATTATTTTTTTTTGATGAAATCAATGATAATTTTTGATAATTTTTGATAATTGTTTTATATTATTATTATTATTATTATTATTATTGTCATATACCGGTAATAACTATTTAAATTACAAAGTTTATTATCAATTGTATTTAAAAATTTTATATATATATATATATAATATTTTTAAAACAATAATTATAATGCAATCATATAATAATTGTAAAAAATTATTTTTGACTATATCTATCTATTCAATTGTTTAATATATAATTAATTATTGGTTATCTATAAAAAAAATAATAATCAAATTATTATACAACTATTATTGTATTATATTTAATCGATTATTATTATTAATATTTATTAATTGTTTATTATTTATCACAAATAATTGTTGTTATAAATTAATTACCTAATTGTTGATATAATTTATATGTATATTTAATATACAGTATATATATATATATAACCCTGTTTACTTTATATACAGTATATATATTACCTATAATTATAATAATATTTTCTCAAATTTTCTAAAAAAATTTTATGTTAATCTAAAAATTTATGGACAAATAATAAATAAAAATTATGTTTATCAAGATTTATAATTAATTTTGTTTAATCTATTTTAATTTAATTAAAACATTTCAACAATAATAATAATAATTTATTTTTATTATTAAATATAAGTATACATTGTGTCAATACATTTCATAGTTATAATAATAATAATTTATGAATAAATATAGTAATTGTTTAATTATAATATAGTTATTATCATATATTTGATATTTATTTATTTATTAATAAACAAATTAGTTAACAACAAAAAGTTTAGTTAATAATAATAATAATAATAATTACTATATTTTCTTGGATTATATTAATGTGAATTACAGTATATTAAAATTAAAAATAATTTTATTATTAAATTTTACATTTTTAGACACACTTTTAATTAATCAAAATTTAATAATTATAATAATGTTAATAATATTTCCAAAAAAATAAATAAATTATATTTGATTTTATTTTCGAATAATTAAAATATATTTTATTATATATATATATTTATATCATATTATTGTGTGTTTTATAAAAAATTTGATTAATTAAAAATAATTATTATTTATTTTTTATAGAAAAAAATAAATTTAAATAAAATAATTTAATTTCATAATTATTTTTAGAAAAAATCTCTCTTTTTATATTAATATAAATTTATAGTAATTAATATCAATTTTTATATTTATTTATAGACATATAATATATATATATGTATACTTTATATATAAATATATATATATAAAGTATTAATTTATGTGACTATTAAAGACATATTAATTTTTAATTAATATTAACAAATATTTAACACATCATAAAACATATAGATATAATATATATATATATATATTAATAATATAATTATATATATATATATATATATATATTAATAGTAACAACAATAATACTGTAATTATTATTATTATTATTATTATTAGTTTCCTTTAAATTGTTAACAATAATAATTATTAGATAGGGGGAGAGGCGGGGGGGGGGTTAGCGTGTGTGTGTGTATGTGTTTGAATATTTAATAATAATAACAATAATAATAATAATAATAATAATACCAGTTATTTAAAATTTAAAAATAATTATTGACAACAAAATTTAAATAAAATTAGTTAAAAATTTTGCGGCGGTTTAAATAAAGGCAATTTTAGGCCATACATGGCATCCTTTTCCTCGCTGAACACGCCATTAGCCGGGGGTATCATTACACCATTTTTGGTGGTCGTCCAGCCGTTATTGTAGTTAGCGACTGGAGGATAAGGACGTCCAACATTACCACCATTACCACCACCGCCACCGTTGTTGTTGTTGTTGTTGGCCATAGCCATCATCATCATGAGTCTCGGTGGTGATGATTGTATATCGCCGATGCCGGCACCGATAGCCGCTGCAGTGGCCGGCAATTGACAATACTTGGTCAACGTTGACACCGAACACGACTCCTGACAACATGACCTAACCATTTGGCTGATTGTCCGACGTCTCAATGATTCACCGGCTTATGTATATGTATATGTATTTTATGGACAAAATTAATGAGTTAATTAATTAATTAATATAAAAATATAATAATTAAATATAATATATATATATATATAYACCCACATACAAAACACATATACACATATATATACACAAACATACATACATACACACATACATATATACACACACACACATACATAGACACATACATACATACAATTAAATTATTAAAATTATATAAATTTATTAACTATTTTATATAAAATAATTAAAAAAATAACAAAAATAAAATAAATTTAATATAGATATATGCTATAATAGTAGATAATTTTAAATTAAAATTATTAGTAGAAATAAAAAATTAACAAAACAATTGTTTAATAATTTTTTTTTGTATTTCTAAAAATTAATATAGTGTCTTTTTTTTGATAGTATATAATAGATATTTATTTAATTATAAGATAATATATTAAATTTATTTATTAGTTTGTTATCTTTTTTATTATTATTAATTATCTTATATAAAGTGTTAATAAATTTGTTGTTATTTATAACTTTATATAAATTTATATAATTTAAATAATTCAATTGTATGTATGTATGTATGTATGTATACACATGTTTGTGTTTGCATGTATATGTGTTAGTGTATGTATGTATGTTTGTATGTATGTATGTATGTATGTATGTACTTGTATGTATGTGTGTTTGTATGTATGGGTATATGTATGTTTGTATGTATGTGTGTATGTATGTGTGTGTGTGTGTATGTGTGTTTGTGTATGTGTGTTTGTGTATATGTGTTTGTATGTATGTGTGTGTATGTATGTATGTGTGTGTGTTTGTATGTGGGTGTTAAATATTGTTAAACTTGAAATTTATTTAATATAAAATTGTTGAATTTTCAACATGGTACATTTTTGTTGTTGTTGCCAAAATTGTCTAATTTAATTATATATAGAGTATGTCTAGTATTTTTGTTTGTTGGTTATTTTGTTTAACTAATATGTTTACAATTTATGTAAATTTAAATATTTTAATTAAACTCAATTCATGTAAATATAATTTATTAAAAAAAAATATCAAATGTTTATATACTGTAGTATAAAGTTAAGTATAAAGTTAAATATTTATACATTTTGTAACAAAACTTTTTAAACATTTACTATATATATATATATAATATATATTATATATATTATGTATATACTGTATATACTGCATATAATAGTAGAAAATACAGGTATTAATGAAAAATAAAATAAAATTAAAAAAAATTATTATTAATATATATTTTCCTAGAAATGTTTTTCAACAAAACTACAAAATAAATTTATTAAATAAAAAATTAGTATTATTTAATTAAATGAAATAAAAAAAAATTATTTAATTTATTATTTCTCTTAAAATTCCTAAAATATTTTAAGTAACAATTTATTTGTTTTTGAAATATAATAATAAATTTTTTTTTAATAATTAGATTTCTTCGAAAAAATTATATGTTTTTCTATAAAACTAAAATAATTTTTGTTACTTTTATTAATATTATTAAAAATTGTTAAAATAATTCATATATTTATTTTGTTTAAAATAGGAATATTTGAAAAATTGTTTATTTTTGTTGAAAGTTTTATAAAATAAATCTAATAAATAATTAATAATTAATTAGTTTTATATTTTGTAGTATTAATATACAATTAATAATACAATTAATATTTAATTAAAAATAATAATAATAAATAAAATAAAATAAAATAAATACTTATTTATTTATATATAAAGTTATATAATATATTGATTAAAAATTTTTACGATGAAATAAAATAATAAATAATATATATTAAAAAAAATTACATTTATTTTTCAAGTTTATGTTTTTTTTTTTGAAAACAACAAAATAGTTAACAACAAAATAAAACAAATAAACTATAATTTCATTTTCACGGAAATTTATAAATATTATATTACTATTGATTTTATTATTATTATTATTACTATTATTATTATTATACTACTGTTTACTATAGTATTATTGTTATGTCGTAACAAAAAAAAATACTATTAAAAACGTTTACTTTTTTTTAACTAATAATACTTTTTTTTAAAAACATTAATAACTAAATAAATAAATTATTATTTCATTCAATTTCTTTGTAAACAATTTTTTATCAATGAATCACTTTATATATGTATTACTCAATCTATAGGTAAATCATACAAAATTATTATTATATAATATATATATAATATATAACATTTTCCTACAATATTTTATAATCCTATACTAAATAAATATAAAAATTTAATAATTTTTTGATTATTTTAACTAAAAAATAAATAAATAATAATTACTAAATTTTATTCATTAACATACTGTAATAGTTTTATTTTTATATTAATAAAAAATATATATTAATATTTTTTTTTGTTTTTTTGATAAATATATTAAAAAAAAATTTTTAGATTAAATATGTTTTCCAATTTTATAGAAATATATTTATTATTATAAATTTCTATAAATTTCTATAATCTTAGAAATATATATATATATATATGTTATTATAATTATATTTATTATTAATATTGGCAATGAAATTATGTTTTTTTTAAGGATTCAATTATATAATAATAATTCAAAATATCTATTTATCTAATAATAATACCGTCTGGAAACTTATATGATTTTAAATTATTAATATATATATATAAGTAAAAAAATATTAATATTAATATTGAATAATAATATGTATAGAAAAATTCAATAACTTCAACAAAAAAATCTATAATATTTTTACATTTCAATAAAAATAACGTAATTATATAAACTATTATATATATATATAAATAATATTTTCAAGTTTAAATAAAATTATATTTATAAGCACCAAAAAAAATCAATAAATTAGCACTTATTATAACTTATTTTATATTATTTTGATAACAAAATTTATCATAAATAAAATGATGATAATATATATATATACTGTATATATATATATATATATATAATATTATAATGCTATTAGAAATATATAATTATTTTTCAATTATTTCATTAATAGATATATTTAAATATTAAACTAAAATATACAATACTATTGTATATTTAAGTATTGAAAATAAAATTATAAAAATAAAATAAAACTAGATTTCAATTAAATTTTTTTTGACAACAGTTAACAATGCATCAAAAAATATATATATATTTATATATACAGTATAATAATTACATTAATATATTTACTGTATTATTATTAAATTAAATTATGACATAAAAAATATTATTATTGAAAACATAATTATTATTATCAATAAATTTTTAAACACCTGTTTGGTATTATGTTATATTTTTTATTTAAATGATATTTTATATTAATTTTTTAAAAAAATATTAACTATGTATATAATATTTAATAGTCTATAAAAATTATTAACAATATTTCAAATAATAGTTTATTATTTTTTCAAAAAAAAATATTAGTATAAAGTAAATTAAAATTTTTTATAGACTATAAATAATATTATTATTATATAAAAAATTTAATATATTTTTAGATTTAGTTTTAGATTTCAAATTTAATTAATTTTTATTATATTTTTCATTTAAACGGAAATTTAAAACTAAGTAAATAATAATTAAAATATTATTTTTTTACAAAAAATCACACAAAAAAGTTTATAATAAATTTTTTACATAATCTTAATACTACTACTACTACTACTACTACTAATAGCTTATTATATTTAACAATAACACCAAAAAATTAAACAATATTTTTATATATATATATACATTATTTTTTAATTAAAAAATTTTTTTTGTGTTGAAAAATATATCTGAAATTACATACCTTTCCGACGGCACAGTCGTCTCTCGGCTTTTGTCATTGACTTAAAGGGAAACAAATAGTTATCGCAATATAATCTTCTTTCTGTCAGTTATTTTCAGCAAAAAAAATAGATAAAAATAATAATTTTTTAGTTTTTATTTAAAAAAATTATATTCTGTATATACACTGTATATATATAGAGAATATAAATACAATAATAATATAATTAATATATATTTATATATATATTGTATATTAATATATAAAACTAAATATTTATATTTATGATTTAAATTATATACATATATATATATATTGTATATAAATTATAATTATATAGTTATATTGTAATCATTTATACATGCATTTTACTAATAATACATTATTATTATTATTATTAGTAAGTATTATATATATTTTTATATAAATGTATATAATAAGTTAGAAATTATTTATCTAAATAATAAATAAATTAGTATTTATTTATTTTATATATTTTTTATATATATATACTGTATATATAGTTTGTTATCTCAATTCAAATAATTAGATTTTATTTGGTTGTAAACAAACTAATTAACTTTTTAAAAATTTATTACTATATGTTTTAATGCCAAAAATTTTTTTATTTCTATGGCTGTTTTATATAAATATAATAAATTATAATTACTATTATCTAAATAATAATATACTATGCGATTTAATATATATATATGATTTTAAAAATTTTAAAATTAATTTTAAAATTTAGTTGTTTTTTTATTATTATTATTTTAAAATATGTAACTATAATTGACATTTGATTATATATACATATATATATATATATCTAAATTATTTACAATATTATAAGTATTATGATTATTATCTAGTTAATTTTTGGTTTATTTGAAAAACATTTTCAATATTTTCATTATCAATTTTATTAAATTAAAAAAAATATAGTAAATTGTGAAAAACATTTATGAAATATATACAGTATATTTAAAAATAGTTTTTTTTAATAATAATAAAAAATAGGTAATTATTAACTAACTATATATATATATATGTAAACTAACATTTAAAACTATAATTAATACTATTTAAACTATAATTATTATCTAGTTAATTTTTGGTTTATTTGTAAAACATTAAAAATATAGTAAATTGTATAAAATATATATTTATATATATACAGTATATTTCAAAATAGATTTTTTTTTGTTAAAAAATAATAATAATCAATACTATTAAAACTATAATTATTATCTAGTTAATTTTTATGTTTATTTGAAAAACATTAAATATATAGTAAATTGTATATAACATATAGGTTTATATATATATATATATATTTCAAAATAGATTTTTTTTGATAAAAAATTATTAACTATATATATGAAAATAAAGCTAATAAATTTAAAAACTATAATTAATTATTTTCAAATATATATATATATATATATAAAATACATACCTGTCTTGAAGTATGGCCTACACATTTCGTTGACCAGTTTGGCCAACTTTTTGCGGCAAAAATCTTCGCGCATTAGACGGACAATGATTGTATTGTCGGCGGATATTATGTCGTTATTATTATTATTATTACTATTAGTATTAGTATTGATATTATTATTATTGTTGGGACCGTCTATGGCTGAGACCATAGAATATTCTGGCGGCAAATCGATCATCGAATCATCGGTATTGGGATTATTCGGAACCCGATTAGGATTTTGGATAATAACCGCCGGATTAGGAATCATAATGTTGTTTGGATTGTTGTTGTTGTTGTTGTTGTTGTCGTTATTAAAGTTATTATTATTATTATTATTATCAATAGCACAGCAAACCATATTCAAGTGGACCAACAATACTATATAGAAAACAATTAATATTAGTTTAATTGTTTTGTTGCCGACAATTGTAGCCATCATTGTTATAGTTGTTAACATTAT